GCAGACGATCGGATACAGTGGCCGACGATGTTGGCAAATGGTCTGGTCACTCCGGGCCGGCGAGGGCAACGACAGTACCAGCGATCAAAAACAGGGTAGATGGTCGATCGGTCTTCGAAAGATTGGTGGCAGCAGTGTGAAAACATGGGCCTTGTCTGGCGATGCGGGGAGCTCAGAGGAACGGGGGGACAAAGCACGAAAGGGTGCGTAACAAAAAGCGGTCGGAAGAGCGGCAATTAGAGGGGCACGGAGGCAGGGTCGGCGTTTACAATAACAATGTAAGGGCACTTTGCCGATGCCTGATCAGGGGTCGAAAGTGGATTCCCAGAAGTTGGCTGAGCACCGACCCCGGCCGCTGTAACCGATCGGTGGCGCTCAGAAGCGTTCCTTGTAAGTGCGATTTTGTGCCATTGAACCAATGCATATTTTCACGGTCACATAGATATTGTTCATTTTAAGCGAAAGTTTGTTTTAAGTGGGGCCGTTATATGTGGGCTTGAGTGTACAACGAAAGGCTCTCAAGTACAGCTAGGTTTTGGGCATCGCTGAAATTTTCAAGGCACGTGCTGGGTGGCTAAATCAACTCAAGAATAACCACAAGATTGCCAGGAAAGTGTTGGACAATGAGTCCCCTTTTTCAGACTTCAACAACGCATTATCGTAGATGGCGACGAGCGCTGCTGGCATCGCAGAGAAGTACCCTGCCTCCAACATATACAACATGGACAACACCGGTCTTTTCTATGAGTCCATGCCAGCAAAGACGTTCAACTTGAATAGCAAACAGTGCCACAGAGGCAAGCAAAGTGAAAAGCGAGCTACTGTGTAGCTCTGTAAAAGTATGAATGGGTCCAATCAGCAACCCCTTCTTGTCGTCCGCAACAGTCCAAAGAGCTTCAAAGGCACAAAAAACCAGCTGGTGAAGTACTTTGTGAATATGCCTTCCAATGTATGGTGTGGACCTTTTGTGGATGATGCGGGCAATTTTTACTTACTGGCTTGTTGCTTTCGATAATGAGATGCAAAGGCAAGATCGCAGCGTTTGCTTGCTGCTTGAGAATCGTTCAGCACATCCCCTGCACGACAATGTCAAGCTGAAGAACACAGAGGTGAAGTTCTTCCCTCCCAATTGCACGTTGCTGATTCAGCTTTTAGATCGAGGCCTGATTAACAGCTTGTAACACTCATACCGGTCAAGGCTTATTCAGCAAATCCTCTTGAGCAGTGAGCATCGCTACGACAGCAATTTCGATTTGTTCAAGGCTGCGAAAATGTTGCCTGCCTAATGAATGTTCACATGGCATGAAGTTCCAAAAAATTGCTTCGCGCATGCAGGGCCTCGTGCCGAAGAGATGTCCTAGGCTAGTTCAAGCAACGATGCACAATCTGCTGGCTGCACTGAACAGAGGCAGCGTGAGCAGCTCTTGATGAAGCTGGCATTGTCCTTCAGAACGAAGCACTGAGCAATTATGTGAATCCCAACACAGACGGGATCATCTATGAAGAGCTAAGCAATGCCAATATCTTCGAGAGTGCTCATGCCACCACTGTCACTGCCCATTCATCTGATGACGAAAAAGTCGCCCATTATAATTCGACAGTCCTGATGCCAGTGACCGCCTTACAGATCAAGGATTCCTTGGACATTACACGTAGTTTTTACAGTGAAAGCTGTTATGAGATCACAACAAGGGTGACGTGTGCTGCCACCGGTGTCCGCTACAACTATCCCTCGAAATAAGATTTAAAAAAATGCTAGCTGAACAAAACACCAAGGCATAAATGGGATTCGAATCCAGGTGCTCTGCGTGCCATTCCAGTATCCTACCAGCTGGTGCTTCACACAGCCAGGCATCACACAATGCGAACTGCATAACAAGTCGGTTGTCGGACACTCCAACCCATTACAAAAGCTTCAGGCATACTTCCTTATCATCGTCAACCTCAGCCTAAAAAAATTGTAAAAAAATTTTGCTCAAGTGTGTAGCAGGTAACATGCCTCTCCAAAGAATGAGGAAGGATGATGTTTTTCGAGGGGGAGGGGGGCACCCCTTTGATTTCGAGAAGGGGCAACCTCCCGAAATGGCCATATTTCACTCTCTATGCCATGGATGGATGGATGGATGAATTTTCTTCGGAATGTGTTTTAGCACAGTGCAGGCCGCTCTCACGTCGGATCAGAAAAAGTCTCTCTGCTGCATCGCGAGCCCAGTGGACTGCCCGTAGCTACTGTTAGAGTCCGCAGCTTGCAATGGCACCCTCCCATTTGGACGGCATGATGACTTCCTCACAGCGTAACGTGGGGCACCGCCAGAGCATATGTTTTAAGGTAGCTATATTATCGCAAAAGGAGCATGTATAAGTTGGCTTTATTTCGTCATAAATTTTGTTCAATAGCGTGGGATTAGGGTACGCCCACCCCTGAAGAGGCCTGAGTGTCAGAGCCTGAGGTCTGCTTGGTTTTCTGAGTGGTGGAGGGTACTGTCTGCACGCCAGGTAAAAATATTTTGTAAAAATATTTTGTAAGATTGGGCGGGGCTCCCTCAAAGCGTCCCGTATGAGCTTGGAACCAAATGCTTGTGTGTGGCTTGATGTCTCTGTCCCGAAGAATTCGCAAAGCTGGTTCCAATATTGTTCCTGCTTCTAGACTGTCATGCATGGCGAAAAAAAATATGGGGGGGGGGGGGGGGGGGGAAGAGGCACGTGCGCGGTGTGCCAGCTTCTGCCTAGCCCCGGCGACATAGTGAATGCCTGCCTAAAGTTAAACCTCGATATAACAAAATTGACAAATTCATGAATAAACTTGTTATAAGAAGAATTTCATTATATGCAGGTTTGGTATGAAAATTGAAAAAATAAATGCACAAATTAAACCAAACGGGAACTGAAGGTAGAGGTCACCCAAAACACTCATCTAATTGTAAAAAACTGCGTTATGTGACAGCACTTATATGGACGCTTACGGCGGGTTTTAGCCATCACTGCCATATTCCGCAACAAGTATAAATTGGTAACATGCCCCCGCACACCGTAACTTTTATGAGTGGGTAAAAGTGCCCGAGCGCTGCTGAAGCAGAGATCAAATGAGTGGGCGTAGAAGGTGCATAAGAGAACATTCCCTGCGTGTTAGAACTGTCGTCGAATGCTCAAACAGAAGGAAAACTACCTGACTTGAATAAGCATAAAAAAACGCGGGTGGGGGGGCAATCGCTCGAGTAGCAACGATGAACTATAATTTTAAGAGTGGTCATGATCGCTGGTGTGCTTGCTACCTCGGCAAGTATCAGTCGGCTTTCAACGAGAAGGGACCGTGTGAAAAGAGCACCTCTATCTGGAGCGGCCGTATTTGCTCACGCAAGCGCCTTCTAGGAGTTCCGTGATATTGGATCCAGAAGAGTTGGCTGCCAACCTTACTTTGTATAACATTACAATCTGTTGTTATCGCGTTCATAGCATTGCATTCAACGCATCGTCGTGTTGTTGCCAGACCTAATCCGCCAATCGCGGAAGCTATAAGCCTGCGAACTCGCAGCGCGGCGCAAGACAAAAGTGCGTAACTAGTTGACTTCCGAAGATTCATCGTCACCGTAGTCTCGGAGAGTTTCCATCATCGCCTAATCTGACGTCCCCTCGGTGGTGACGACACGGATTGTCCGCATTAAAGAAAAAGCAAAGCGGAACATCATTGGGGGCCACACCATTCACGCTCAGTGACACTATGCACGCTCGCACGGCGTTGAAAACAAAGAGCGAACAACACGGACACAGACACGAATACTGCTGAAAACTATTATGTAAAAAAGCGCCCTCTATATGCAGCGTGGCCCCACATATGTGACGCTAACTGAAAGCGTGGCCCTGCCAATGTAAAAGTAGCTTTTTTTTCTTCTTGGGTTGGAGGGAGAAGGGGCTCATCCACGCATGCAGCGGAAGAATGGTGGCAACGCCGACTTGTGGGGTGCAGGCCCCCCCATGCTCGCCTTGCACTTAGTACCCGTGCGCTACCACGAGCGCTCGCTTTCGCCTGCTGCTCCATGAAAGCCTCCGCCGTTTAACGCTTCGTTGGCGGCGGGGCATCCGCGAAAGATGCATGCTCATACTAAAATATGGGGTGAAATTCCTAGATTGTTTAGAGAAAAAATTAGTTATTTCAAGGTTGTCTTCCTTTGTTACTTTGTTACATAGGGGTCACAAATACATGTGCTTCTAGGGAACAACGGTTGGGCACAGAAAGACTTCATTACATAGAGGAATTCGTTATGTGGTGGTTCGTTACAAGCAGGTTTAACTGTATACACAAAAATTATGACTTATGACATAGTAGGTGCCGTGCAAGTGTGCTTGTAGCAGTTACCCAAACAGTGTCTAAACGGCTCTGAAAGGCTGCTTTTCTAGCTTTCACTGTGACTGTGCTGCGTGTTCCACACAACCTTGGCATTTTTTTCTTAGCACCTATAACAATGATGTTGCCATGCAGCTCCTCCCAAAGTGTGGGCTGAGCATTGTTTTGTTGCTCTTGTGAAAATGCAAACAAGTAAAAAATAATGTTTTTTTTTCTTTTTTTCGGAAATAAAATGCTTCAAGAGTGTCGTGCATATCTTTTCATTTTTATTCACCAGTACTACTTTTTCTGTAACAAAATTCTTGCTACAACAATTGTGACACCCATAAATTTTATTGTAGCAGAGTTCGACTCAGGTTCAAAACTGTGCAGTATGAAATAATGAATTTCAGACCACCACTACTAAAAGGGTTGCTAATGCTTACCACAAAAATTACTGTTGCATATAGAAAAAATTTAAGGTTGAAAATTGTATGTGTTGGCTTTGTACATTTACTTTTCTGCTGACCATTTAGTTGTTCTTGTTCTTTTTTTTTGTCATGTTGTGCAAAGGTGAGCTAGCATATTAATAAGCTTGGCTTAAGCACCAAGAAATCTAGCACCAAAAAATTACCTCATTACTCTATAACTGCAAAGTGTGCCAACAACAGCCACTGACCAGACTCTTCAGACGTTGCCACGGCAACTTGTTCTTCCAGCACTCGACGACTTTGATCTGTGTCAATGTGTAGCTTTCTTCCAGCGACTCAGCCAGTGTGTCGACCAGCAGTCCAGCGATTGTGCTGGTTGACCAGAACTCAAGGTTGTGCACATGCTGGCTCTCAGTCAGCCAATCACACAGCACCCCGACATCTGCACTTGTAAAGATACCTGCGAAAGCCGGTATATGCAGATAATTACATTGATTGCAGATGTAGGCCAAGATTCATTCAGCACATACAAAAGCCTGATACTGGAAATAATGGTGCCTTGAAACAATATTTTCAGAAATACTGGAACTTGCAAGATATAGAAATGTTGGCCTCTTTGTTAAACAAGTGATCTTTAACACTGAAACAAAAACAGTGTAAAAAAGAAGTCACAGTTTCACCACAAGGGCGAAGCAATGTAAGCGATAGCAAGAAATCTGAATGCTTTTATGTGGACACGGTTGACAGGTTCTTTCCGTCGCCATTGCCACCATGTCCAGTATAAAGTCCAACCTCATAGGACCCTTGCGCATCGTACCTTCTACACATGGGTAATACAGTTAAACCTGAATATAATGAAAATGATAAATTACCAGAAATATTCATTATAAAAAAGATTTCATTATATTGTCACGGGGTCGTGACGTGGCCGAAGACAGGAGACTTCGTGTTGGGATTTAACTGTTTATTTGGGCGAACCTGTGCCCGGTAAACGGAAAGTCCAATTACAGCAGTAGTCTTGCACAGATAGCAGTCTCTGACTGATAGCGGCGAACGGAGCGTCCGCCTTCGATCAACAACTGACAAGCGGCGAAGCGCGTCGGCATTTATACTCTTGCTGTCGAATGTTCTAGCATTATCGCTGGCGGTGCCGTAGATTCCAGAACAATCTGTACCGTTCGCACAGTGGGCGTGATCTTATCGAAATGATCTACTACAGTCCGGAACCTTCTCGAAAACTGCAGGCGCGGTTTGCGCTGAGAATCGTGTGGAGTTTTGGGACGATAACAAAAACTTGGGAAATGGAACGTGGCATTGCCCCCCTCTGAAAAAAAAAAGGCATCGTCCCGATGCTTTAACTAAATATGAAGGTACAATAATAATTCAAGAAAGTACAATGAATAAATTACGATACAAAAAAAACCACTGTTTCAGTTTGTTAACGCGCATGAAATGGCTTGAGGCGCGCGACATGTACGACTTCAGGTCGCGATCGGAGTCATTGAGAGTTCGTGATGCCGGTCGGGGACAACCTCGTAATCAAGTGGGCCGAGACGTCGAACCACCCTGTACGGTCTAAAGTATCGTCGCAAAAGCTTTTCACTTAGTCCACATCGGCGTATCGGCGTCCACACCCAAACACGATCCCCGGGCGGGTATTCCACGAAGCGTCGTCGAAGGTTGTAACGGTGGCTGTCGGTCGTCTGTTGAATCTTGATACGGAGACGCGCAAGTTGTCGGGCTTCTTCGGCCCGTTGAAGGTACTCGCTCACATCGATGTTTTCTTCGTCGGTGACGTTGGGTAACATGGCATCGACCGTCGTTGCCGGGCTACTTCCGTAGACCAATTTGTATGGAGATATCTGCGTCGTCTCCTGCACCTCCGTGTTGTATGCGAAGGTCACATACGGAAGAATGGCGTCCCACGTCTTGTGTTCGTTATCGACGTACATTGACAGCATGTCGGCGATCGTCTTGTTAAGCCGCTCGGTGAGGCCGTTGGTCTGTGGGTGGTACGCTGTCGTCCGGCGGTGGTTTGTTTGGATGTATGCCAAGATCGCTTGAGTTAAGTCGGCAGTGAAGGCCGTTCCTCTGTCGGTGATAAGGACCTCCGGGGCACCGTGACGTAGGACGATATTTTCGACGAAGAACTTAGCTACCTCCGATGCACTGCCTTTTGGCAGGGCTTTTGTCTCGGCGTAGCGGGTGAGGTAGTCGGTAGCTACCACGATCCACTTGTTTCCGAAAGCCGACGTCGGGAACGGCCCCAGTAGGTCCATACCAATCTGCTGGAAAGGTCGGCAAGGTGGATCAATTGGCTGCAGAAGTCCCGCTGGCCTTGTCGGCGGTGTCTTGCGTCGCTGAACGTCCCGGCATGTCCTCACATAACGAGTGACGTCGGTGGTAAGACGTGGCCACTAGTACCTTTCTTGTATCCTCGCGAGCGTGCGAGAAACACCGAGGTGCCCTGCCGTCGGATCCTCGTGCAGGGCCTGCAGGAGTTCTGGTCGCAGAGCTGAAGGCACCACAAGGAGGTACTTAGCTCGAAGCGGTGAAAAGTTTTTCTTTTGTAGAAGACCGTTTCTTAGAAAGAACGACGCAAGTGCGCGCTTGAATACCTTCGGGACTTCGGCGGTCCTGCCTTCGAGGTATTCTATTAGGGCCTTAAGTTCCGGGTCGGCCCGCTGTCGTTCAGCGAAGTCGTCGGTAGTTATTGTTCCCAAGAAGTACTTGTCATCCAGGTCGTCGGGTAGCGGTTGGCCGACAGGCGCACGAGAGAGACAGTCGGCGTCGGAGTGTTTTTTGCCGGACTTGTAAATGACGGTAATGTCATACTCTTGAAGTCTCAGGCTCCATCGTGCGAGGCGACCTGAAGGGTCCTTCAAGGTGGCTAGCCAACACAAGGCGTGGTGGTCGCTCACAACTTTGAAGGGCCTGCAGTAGAGGTAGGGGCGAAATTTCGACGTAGCCCAGATGATGGCGAGGCACTCCTTTTCTGTTGTGGAATAATTTGCTTCTGCTTTGGATAGCGATCGGCTGGCGTAACTAATAACCCTTTCAAGTCCGTCAGCTTTCTGCACAAGAACTGCGCCAAGACCTACGCTGCTTGCGTCAGTATGTATTTCTGTCTCGGCGAATTCGTCGAAATGGGCAAGTAATGGAGGCGTCTGGAGGCGATGTTTAAGCTCCTGGAAAGCGTGTTCCTGTGGCGTTTCCCACTTGAACTCCACGTCGGCCTTGGTAAGATTAGTGAGAAAATCGGCGATGCGGGCGAAGTTTTTCACGAACCGCCTATAATAGGCGCACAGGCCCAGAAATCGGCGCACGGCCTTCTTGTCAGTGGGCGGCGGAAAGTCGGCGATGGCGGCTGTTTTCCGTGGATCGGCACGAACTCCAGACTTGCTGATAACGTGTCCCAGAAACAAGAGCTCCTCATACGCAAATCTGCACTTTTCTGGCTTCAGTGTGAGTCTGGACGTCTTGATGGCTTGAAGTACAGCTTCAAGGTGCCGAAGATGCTCGTCGAAACTTGAGGAAAACACGACGACGTCGTCCAAGTACACAAGGCAAGTCTGCCACTTCAATCCTGCCAGTACTGTATCCATAACACGTTGAAAATTTGCAGGCGCTGAGCAAAGGCCGAAGGGCATCACCTTAAACTCAAAGAGGCCGTCCGGTGTTATAAACGCCGTCTTCTCTCGGTCTCTTTCGTCGACTTCGATTTGCCAATAGCCAGTCTTTGTTTATTTGGGCGAACCTGTGCCCGGTAAACGGAAAGTCCAATTACAGCAGTAGTCTTGCACAGATAGCAGTCTCGGACTGATAGCGGCGAACGGAGCGTCGGCCTTCAATCAATAACTGACAAGCGGCGAAGCGCGTCGGCATTTATACTCTTGCTGTCGAATGTTCTAGCGTTATCGCTGGCAATGGCGTAGATTCCAGAACAATCTGTACCGTTCGCACAGTGGGCGTGATCTTATCGAAATGGTCTATTACAGTCCGGAACCTTCTCGAAAACTGCAGGCGCGGTTTGCGCTGAGAATCGCGTGGTGTTTTGGGACGATAACAAAAACTTGGGAAATGGAACGTGGCAATATGCAGGTTCAGTAGGAAAACTCAGAAAATAAATGCGCAAATTCAACAAAAGGGGACTGAAGGCAGAGCTAACACAAAACACTTATTTTACAGTGAAAAAACTAGATTTTTATTGCCACAGCAATCGTATGAACACTCTCAGCGGGTTTTTGCCGTCAACGCAGGGTGGGAACAACAACAATACAGAAAGGGAAGGGGGATTGCTCGAGTAGCAATAATGAACTTGGATTTTAAGGGCGGTCGCGATCAGTGGCGCGCTTGCTGTCTCAGCGAGTATTAGTGCGGTTTCAACGCGAAGAAACTGTGTGAAAAGAGCACTTCTCCCTGGAGCGGCCGTATTTGCTCACACCAGCATTTTGTAGGCGTTCCGGGATATCAGATGCAGAAGAGTTGGCTGCCAGCCTTACTTCTTATAACATTACAATTTTTCGATATAGCGTTCATTGCACTGTATTCAACGTGCCGTCCAGTTGCCGAAATTAATAATGTAATCGCAAAAGCTATCAGCCTGTAAACTCGCAGCGCAAATGACATCCCAGTTTGATTGGTCGGAATCGACATACATGGCAAGCATGTCTCCTAGCGTTCGGTTGAAGCGCTCAGTTAGACCGTTGGTCTGCGGGTGGTAGGCTGTAGAGGTGCGGTGCACCGTGCGGCATGCCTGAAGGAGTTGTTGTACAACTTCGGACAAAAAGACACGCCCTCGATCACTTAGTAGTTCACGTAGTGCCCCGTGACGCAGTACGAAGCGTCGCAAAACGAAATTGGCTACGTCACGTGCACCAGCCGTAGGTAGTGGAGCTGTTTCAGCATACCTCGTGAGATGGTCGACGGCGACAATGATCTATCGATTTCCAGTGGCAGTGTAAGGAAGGGGACCATATAGATCGATACCAACGCGGTCGAAAGGGCGCGCCGGTCACGGTAGAGGCTGTAAAAATCCGGGTGAATGGGCCGCTGTCTTGTGTCGTTGGCATAATGAACAAGACCGAATGCATTTTTGAACAAAAGTGTACATACCACGCCAGTAGTAACGCTGGCGGATCCGCTGATATGTTTTTAACACACCAGCGTGAGCATGTTGTGGGTCGGCATGAAAATGGCGAATTCCGAGTGGTGGTTGTTAAACCAGAGACTCGCTACCTCTTTCAGGTAGAAGGGTATATATTGCAGCTTCGATGTGTCGTCCCACTTGTTGCTTGCACCTACCTTTTCAAATGTCGACAGCCAATCTTCTACGTCTTGCTCATCAGTACCGTCGAAAAAAGGTGGATCGCGCACGCGTAGCGCAGTGGGCACGATGACCATCGGAGGCTGGGTCTTACCTTGCTGGGTGTTTTCTTCAGCCATGTCCGAAATGGCAGGTAGTTTCCTGTTGCGGAGTTCCAGGTTGAGTTACCCAGCACCTCCACCACTCTGAAACGGGGTTTATTGGCGTAAGTAGTACTTGCACAGCAGGTCTACTGATGCGAAAAGCGGGCGGCAGCAACCGACGCAGGAAACGCAACACTCAGGGGAACAGCTCGCGTTCGGCTCCTCTTGCTAAAGGCGTGACCCACTGCGGCACATAATCTTCTTCCTCTCTACATTAACATAGTTTATGACGCGAAAAAACGCACACGCAACACACATGCCAGAATGCGTGGAACAGCTTTGGGCCCATTTCCAGTCCGAAAACGAAACTAATTCGAGCCAGCATGGCGGGCATCATGGAGCGGTGGAGACAGGCGAAGGCATTTCCTTCCTCCGTGGGTGAAGGGGTTGTGATCAAGAGAGGAGAGCAGATTTGCGAGAGAAGGGCAAGGAGTTGCGATAAAAAGAGGGAGGATGCGGCGGGAGGGCGACCTTGAAAACCAAAACACACGGGAAGGAGGCTGGTAAGCTTGCTTGAAAGGTCCGCGAAACTCGCCCGTAAAAAAACTTGGAAAGAGTGCCTACGTGCGCAGAAGTCAAAGCACGGCCGCCTGGATCGGTGCATGTGGCGGTGTTCAAAGAATCGGCGGCCGTGGTCAGAAAATCATTTTGTTGCGCCGGCGGATCTGCGTTACCTCACGAACTTCGATATTTTACGATTCGTTCCACGCAAATTAAAAGCCGTTTTCGCACTTTCGCACTCGCGCAGAAGGCTGCTGAGCCGAGTGCGAAGTGAGCGAGAACAAGTCCTAAACAGGAAATGAATCGCGAATCTCAAAGTCGGTGGGGTAGCGTACGCGCGTGCACTAGATGCAGACTATCGGATACAGTAAGTGGCCGACGATGTTGGCAAATGGTCTGGTCACTCCGGGCCGGCGAGGGCAACGACAGTACCAGCGATCAAAAACAGGATAGATGGTCGATCGGTCTACGAAAGATTGGTGGCAGCAGTGTGAAAACATGGGCCTCGTCTAGCAATGCAGGGTGCTCAGAGTAGCGGTGGGACAAAGGACGAAGGGGTGCATAACAAAAAACAGCCAGGGCATGAAGGAAGGAAACAGCTTTCCTTCCTCCATGGGTCGAAAAGAGTGGCAGCTAGAGCGTCGCTGAGGCCGGGTCGGCGTTTAACAATAAGAATGTATGGGCACCTCGCCGATGCCTGATCGGTGGTTGAAAGTGATTTCCTGAAAAGTCAGCAGACCGCTGACTCCGTTCCCTGTAACCGATCAGCGGCGCTCGGAGACGTTTGTTGTAAGTGCGATTTTGTGCCGTTGAACCAATGTATATTTTCACGGTCACGCGGATATTATTCGTTTTAAGCTAAATTTCGTTTAGTGGGGCCGTTATTAGTGGGCTTGGCTGTACAGCGGTACGTCTTATATATCAATTTTTGCATGGAGACTTGTGAAAAGTGAAGGGTGTGTCATATGCAAAGGTGCGTACCGTATTTTTCGGTGTATAAGTCGCGGTTTTTTTCTGAATTTTTCGTGGGTGCGTCTTATACAACGATGCGACTTATACATTCAAAATCGAGTTGGATGCCACGGCTTGGGTGGCGCTGTTTACGTCAAGCAGAGGTTATCTGATTGATGGCTAAAGTCAAGGCACGAGTGAAAATTAAACCCTTCACTGTGAAGTACGAATCCTCAACTTCATTATTTAAAGAAAAAAAAAGAGATAATTGTAATGATTAGTTCACTAAGTATTACGGCTAGGTGGCGTTAGCCGCCGCCCAATCTAAAGGGTACAGCCACATCCATCCATCCATCTATCAAAATGGCGTCTACGGCGCTTCACCGCTACCTTTTTCCTTCCTCCGCGGCCTTCTGCGATGCACAGAAACCACATTTAAAAAGAAAGTAAGATTAACGGTAAGTTAACACCCTAAAGGTAACGCAGCTATGTAGTTTTGCACAAAAAAATAATCATAGGGGTGAAAATGTGGAGGTATTTTTTAAATTATAAATTATGAAAAGCAAGTTTGGATTTCAGAGCCACTTCCTTTACCGTCACTTCCGTCCGCCATAACGTCTTCATTGCACTCGCTGTGTCGCTGTTGCTGCGCGCGTCTCGTGTGTTGTGTTGTGCGTCGTAGCATAGAGCCGGTAGCGCCGTAGAACCTCGCGAACCATGGCGCCGCTTGGAAAGCAAAGTCGGCGAAGCTATGACGCCAAGTTCAAGCTGCGCGCTGTTGAATTTGCCGAAAACCACGGGAACAGAGAAGCAGGGAGGCAATTCGACGTCAGTGAAAAAATAATCCGTGACTGGCGCAAGGCGCACAGCGTCCTCCGGACGATGAAGTTGACAAAGAAGGCCAACCGCGGCAAGAAGGCGCGCTGGCCGGACCTCGAGCGTAGCCTGCGCACGTGGGTACTGCAACAACGAGCCGAAGGAAGAGGGCTGTCAACAGGGCAGCAGCGCCTGAAGGCGAAGGCTCTGGCAGCGGAGAGCAATGTTACGGGATTCAATGGTGGTCCGTCGTGGTGTTTCCGCTTTATGCGACGGAATCAGCTGGTTATGAGAGCCCGGACGACAGTGTGCCAGAAGCTGCCCGACGACTTTCAGGCGCAACTAAACAACTTCAGCTCATTCGTGAGGGAGGAAGTTGCGAAGAAGAATGTCAGCGCGAGCCACATCGTAAACATGGATGAAGTGCCGCTGACATTCGACATCCCGCTTGGGAGAAGCATCGCCGAAAAAGGCCAGAAAACTGTCACGGTGAGGACAACAGGCCACGAGAAGTCCCACTTCACCGTTGTGCTCGCCTGCTGCGCGGACGGCACAAAGCTGCCTCCCATGCTAATATTTAAGCGGAAAACCTTGCCGAAGGATAATTTCCCTCCTACAGTGGTGATTCAGGCGAACACAAAAGGTTGGATGGACGAGGGAATGATGAGTGTGTGGCTTGACCGCTGTTTTTCCCGTCGACCAGACGGATTCTTCCACGTGAAGCCAGGAATGCTGGTAATGGACAGTATGCGGGCACACATCACCGATATTGTCAAGAAAAAGATCAGTTCAAAGAACTGTATGCCAGTGATTATTCCCGGCGGCATGACGAAGATGCTTCAGCCGCTTGACATTTCTGTCAACCGCAGCTTCAAGGCAGTTCTGCGACGTTCGTGGGAAACGTGGATGTCGGAGGGAGAACACAGCTTTACAAAAAACGGGGCGCATGAGACGCGCAGAGTTCGGCGAAGTGGCGAAATGGGTGAGTGACGCTTGGGAGTCAATTTCTGCGAAGACCATTGTGGCGGGCTTTCGCAAGGCCGGTTTGATCCCCTGCGCGGCCAATGGCGACATTGAAGAATCCGATTCGAGCGAGTCGGAGGACGACAGTGATGTGCCAGCAGTACTGCAACCAGAAGTAGCTGCATTGTTCGTGAGCGACTCGGAGGAAGACGACTTCGATGGCTTTGAATAAACGTCACCAAGCTATCGGAATAATAAAGGTACTTCTGAAAGTATTGTTTTTATGTGTGTTTAAAAGCGCTCGCACGCGTGACTGCCGATAGCTAGAAACGTGCAAAAGCGTTGGCCGTCGCAAGCATGCATTTTTGCAATGCATTGTCACGACGAGATACTTAAATGTCGGTGGTCGGATGAGCAAGTGCGTCTTCTACACCGGTGCGACTTATGCACCGGTGCGACTTATATACGTTTTTTTCAGAAAAACTGCTATTTTGAGGGGAGTGCGACTTATACAAGGGTGCGACCTATAAACCGGAAAATACGGTATTATACACTGGAAAATATGGTATTTATGAAACTACTTCAAACGTTTTGCCTGAAATAATTAGGATGCGATTTGGCAGAAGTCAACAAAATACTGGTGTAGGTGAATCCCACCGCGGCTGAGAGTAATGTTATATCAATGCAAACTAGTAAGCTGCGAGAACACAGCACGCACAGAGGTATGAGCCTTATGCCATATGCTGATCCTTGTAAAGACAGGGTGCATGCAACAGTGCCTGGCTGAACAAACATGCAGCATGCAGTTCCTGCAAAAGCAACCCAGCAACTTTCACCCCCTGTCCCTCGATACCCCCCTCCTTCAACGCTCCAAAGTCACTAAGAATGCATCGCCATGCAGAGTGCATCGTTGCATGATGGTGGGAAAGACAGCGGTGACAGTGGTGAGGAAACTTACATTAGCCCGCCTTCAAAGCTGATGATCATACAGTGTTCAATGTCCAAGATCAAATAGCTCAGTGATTTTACATTTGTGAGAGGGCTTCCGCCAATTTGCCTGCAGCAACTGGACGTAACACACGCTGCTGTAAGAACACAGCAGCTGATGTACAAACAAGAGTACATCTCAGACTAATTCTACACTATTAATAATACCTTACTGATAGGTTTATCAGTATGACTTCACAGCTGTGTCAGACAAAGCTTTGGTGGTCTGAACCCAGGAAAGAACCAAAGGTTATTAATTCATGCTTTTGGATTACCCTAATTTTCCGAAGATATTGTTTTCACTAGAAGGCTTGCACCACCTAGCAGGTGTATATATATCTCAATAAAAATTTTATTCACTCCAATTCATCCACTATTTTGTTATGGCTAGTTTTATATCACAACCTTCACGTATATTTTCCTTTAGCTGCCTGTGGAACTTGCACTGAAAGCCCCAAACTATCACTTGCTTTGAGAGGCAAAGCCCTTCTATAGATACTGCTTGCAGCAACTGCACTGAACTATCCACAGCTTTGAGAAACAAACCACTTCGTAAGAAGCTGCCAGCAACTTATGCACCAAAAGCACCTACGAACAGCTTTGAGAAGCAAAGCACTTTCCTAGAAGCTAACAAGAAAGAAAGAAAGACTCTGAATTCCCCAAAATATGGCCTAGCACCTTTGATCTTCAGTTTCTGGATGCTGCTGTTCTGGGCCAGGCCAGCAACAACCAAGTGTGACCAGGGGGCCAGCTTTGGCAGCTTCAGGTCCAGCTCCCGCAGGCACTGCGTTGTGGCCAAGTAGGAGCCAAGCTCCTGGGCTGCGTCAGATTCCACACACAGCGTAGTGCTGTGCAGGTGCAGAGAGGTGACGTGCTGGCTCGAATCGTTTGACAGGGCCCAGCACGCATCGTGCAGGGATTTGTTGTCGACACAGTTAAGTCGAAGCTGCCCGACAGCCGGCGGTGCTTTCTCCATACCGATTACCAGAGGAACGAGAAACTGGGCCGACGAAGTGCAGCTGCATAAACAACAGTTTTGTTAAAAGTGTGGCATTTCTTAACGGAACACTCCATTAAAGCAATAAATCAGCTTTCACACACTAGTCAGTACTCTAAAATTTTACTTTACTCTTATTGACATCATAGATTTACTATCACAGCTTTATAGTTTCATAAAAAAAGAAGGTGGTGGAAATGGCCGCCAGGAGGTCACTGAGATGAACTGAGGTCACAAGGTGCATTAGAAGATTACCTACTGTGCAGTATCACGAGTTCATTCTCGTGCCAACACTCTTTTTCAATGAACACAATATGGTGAAAAGTAGCTACAAGGACCTTTTTTATGACAGGCACGTCATTTGGGTTATTTTTGATGGCCCATCCATGCTACCCATATTTACTCGCATAATAGGCGCACCCAAAGCTTCGTAGCGAGAAATCAGATTGTTATTTTATTTCTGCACACAATAGGCCCACCCCTAACTTGGCGGTGATCAGTAGATTTGTACCGTATTTGCACAGTTTCAATTTTACGCTCTCTTACGTTAAATGAAGGAAAGAAAAAGAAAAAGAGAACACGGCACTGCTGCGCCAGCTCCATGGGCTTGCCAGGTAAGAAGGATGGTTGCCTTGGTGTCGAAGTAACTTTTGCGCTGATGCGCGGGCATAGCTCCAGCTGCTAGCCGACCACGCGCACTCTGCATAGAACGAGCGATCGCGTCCTTGTCAAATGTGCACAGAGTTTCCGGTCGAAAAAAAAAAATGTCATCGTTATCATATTTGCTACCTCGTCCGCAAATTTAAAAGCTTTTAGGCATTGCTGCCACTATGCGAACTTGCACAAGCTCGACCGACTTCTGTCACCGCTGAATTCCTGGCTGCAAACCTAAACATCGTATCACGCACGCTGCTCTTGGATCGGTGCTGGAGTGCGATCTTTTCGACACCCAATCTTCATGTTGTCTTGTACAAACTTCCTGCAACAACATGCCGAACCATAGAATAGGCACCTTGGTTGCCTTCAGTGACAGTAGCGGGCAATTTAAGTTAAGGTTTTGTACATAACGAAACTCTTTGCAGTGGCTCTACTTTAAGGAAAAGGGGTATGGGTGGCACGTGTACTACTAGAATGATAGTTCGTGATTCCATTGCGACGCCTCTGGATATGGCATGCGAGCCCGTGAAATCAAACAAAAAATCGGTAGCTTTCAGCGCACAAATAATCCATGTGGCCTGAAACATAATCGGCAAATTTCTAAGATGGTGCTTTCTTTTCATATTTTTCTTTTTCTTTTTTTTTTTCGAGTTCATTTTATTGGCAATACGAGTCTTCGGATTTTAATTTTTGAAAATTTGAATGTGTCCTGCATGCTCAACAGGTCTTGCGCTAGTGTAGCCGATGAGGAAAGTTGTTCGGCTGTAGCACAGATATTTTTGACCTCAGCACCGTATACGTTATCTGCAGTCTGTGCTGTGGTCGAAAATAAAATTTTCTGAGATTTTACCACGTGTAATGGGCACACACCGAACTTGAAACCATATTTCCTGGAAAAAAAAAAGTGCGCCTATTACGCGAGTAAATACTGTAGTTGGTGAGTTGCTTCATTAAAGCCACTCACGCTACACTCAATTCCACTCACACTGATCTCTCAGTTGTTGGTGTTGTTTTTTACAACAAGGTTGCGCAAAGTTGTGCCCAATTTTATCTTTTTTTTACATGATTGACAAATTATTTTTTTTCTATAGATACGAATACTTTTGCTTCATCCGCAATGAACGTGATACATGTGCAGCAGTCACCATCGCAAAGGATATTTGTATAGCGCAGCTGGTGTTATTTGAGTGACCACTAAAATGTCATTGCCGATAATATTTCCACCTGCCCCGCGTTTGCTTTGGCGTTATTTTTGGCACTGGAGTTTGAGTTTTTCAGACCTTTTCAAGTATCCATTCTCTTGAGAATTCGGTCTAAGAACATATTCATAGTAGTAGTCAAAGAAACCACAGTGGTCCAAGATAAGGCCAGCGTATAACTTGATGACAAAGCCAACACCAATGTCACTTGTGTGGCCTTTTGTCAAACAATTGCTATCATAAACAATGTCAACATTCTCTGCGACATATGCGAAGTCCCTATAGATCTGACGCACCAACAATTGAAGCTTTTATAATTGCTGTTGCTGCAGATGCCGTTTCAGGTGGAGTACACGAATAGTCCAGCCTCCTGTATGACTTGTGATGCAGTCCCCAAGGCAAAATATTTAAGACAGAAAAATATATTGTTTATTACAGTTTGATCTTTCCCCACAAACTGCACAGCTACCACATTATGAACATTCACTTCAAAGAGGTTGATCTGCTGACAACCAGTATATCTTGGGCATGACCACTTCCTACTTATTTTTGTTATTAGCTGGAGCCCAAGTCCAGTTTCAAAACAAATTGGGGCCCTCCCACACTGATGCCAGCAAAATTCGGACAGCAGCTGATTTGTCATCACTTTGCAACAAAAACTGACATTTTGGGCACATACGACACTTTCACTGCTATTCAGTATTTGCAATTTCCTCTTTGTGACTAAGGTAGCATATAATACAGTCCAATCTCTATAATTCGAATTCGAAGGGCCCCGAAAATTTGTTTGAATTAAAAAAAGTTCGCATTAATGAAAGCTAAGTAAATGAAGGCCTCCCTATGCGGTGGCGCATGTGCATTAAGCTAATACACGAGGGGGAAAAATCAGAAGAGTTACATTTATTTACTAATCCCAGGACATCCATCACTAATTGAAGTAATCGGTGATGCTCGTCTGCACAAGTTTGCCTTGCAGTGAGTCGATCAATTTTGCATGCAGCTTGCAAAGCATGTCTGCTTCGGCTTCAGCATTCTCCTGGCAAGAGAAGTTGGGCGTGGCAATGTCCAGCGCCAACACTCTCTAAAAACGACGACAACAACGGCTGCATCTTCGCTACTACCCTCTGCGCCAAAGCCTCAGTGTGGCCAGCACGTGACGAAAAAGGAGGAGCGTCTCCACGCCGAGTAAAGCAGATCATTTTTTTTTTTGCTTTTGTCACACGCGTCGTTGAAAGGAGAAGGCTTACGTGGCAGGAACGGGAAAAGGGAAAGCGTGGCACTGGCGCATGAGAGAGAGCCACACTCCGCGACAGCTTTTTTTTCCCCTCTGTCTCTTTGCCAACAGTGTTGGAAGTGAAAAGATCTTTACATGGCAGGGGCAGAAAAGGGAGAAGCAAGCTACAGGGGCGTCGCAGATCGGCATTTGAGAGAATAAAAACGTTCCACCACGGCCTTTTCTTTCTTTTTCCTTTCCTTCGCGCCCAGCGTTGAGGTGTCAGAGGTGCCGCCGTGGGATTGGGCAGGGTGCTGAGAGCATTTTCGGAGCACGGTATGTTCCAATTGAGCATCGCAAGTGCTTGTGCGTTTGAATTACCGGGCGTTTTCACCCATTGGAACGGACCTCATCGTGAGTTTGAATTAACCGGAAGTTCGAATTAAGCGTGTTCGAATTAATGAGATTTGACTGTACATTTAAAACATCTGCTCACGTCTCTTCTCAGCACGCAATATTTTCATTAGTGAGAGTTGGAGCCAAAATCTGCTGCTTAAACACAACATGCGAACATCTGCACCTGCTAATGCCATCTTGCCGTTGCTCACAGAAGTATGGTGACCGCCTCTCATGGACATGCCAACACCCTACACTGACCTTTTTACTCAGCACGTGAATACAGTCGAACCTCGATATATCGAACATGGATATATCGAATTGATGGCTATATCGAATGGTTCTTATATCATGCAGGAAATCGCATGCATTTTTATTTTTTCTTTCGAATGATGTTTGACAAATAACAGATACATTGAACTCGGCCACTCCAGTCCGCCCGCGCTCTGTTGACAGGCGGCGAGCTTTCCCGCAATACTCTCCAAACTAGCGACGACGCGGTGTGCGCCACTTGAACGTACAGTGTGCATACGCCGCATGCTTGCAGCATCGACGGGTCGAAGCACTGCACTTGTTGGACTAGCTCTTCCCCGTCGTCGCATCGATCGTTATGCTCATAGTCTTGCTGTGTTCGTGTATGTGGAATTAGGCCTGTCGGACGTCGTGGTGTGATGACTGCAAACGCTAAGAAACGGCCGACTCTGACTTTTGCTGCTATGCTAGAGACGATCCAGTGTGTCGAGAATGACGAGAACGAGTAAAGGGTCACAGAAGCATTTGGCATACCAAGGAGCACATTGAAAACTCTGCTCAAAAACAAAGGCGACATAAAGGCCAAGGCGGAGAACTGTCAGCACTCCGGCACGCAGCGTGTACGCAAAGCTGCCTTCGAAGATGTTGAGAAGACGCTTCACAAGTGGTTTAGAGATGCAATAAAATGAAATCTTCCTATATCGAGACTGATCTGGCAACAGAAGGCACAGAACTTTGCATTCATTCTCGGCGCCGAGAATTTCAGTGCGAGCAGAGGTTGGCTGCAACGATTTAAGACTCACTTCGACATTGTTGGGAAGACGGTGTCAGGAGTGAGTGAGGAAGAATGAATAAGAAATTCAGAAGTGGCATAATCACGAGTAACCCAAAGCTATCGCTAAGTATGAGTCGAAGCAAATGTTCAATGCTGACGAGATGGGCTTATTCTGGCAAACGCATCCCCGACAAGCGCTGGACAATCGCGGGCCAAGTGCCATGAAGGGAAGCAAGGCAAGGCCCGTGTAACAGACCTATTGGCTGCCAATATGGATAAAAGCACAAAGCTGCGGCCACTTGTAATTGGCAAGTTTTAAATCCTTAGGTGCGTGCGGAACTGCCCCAATATTCCGGTGACTTACGCCTGGAATAAAAAGCCGTGGATGACAAGGGATATTTTCGTCAACTGGCTGAAAGCATAGTATTCGGACTTGGTGCGTCAAGGACAAAGGGTATGCCTTATTGTCGACAACCGCACGGCACACCACACCGATGCCCAGCTGAGCAACATCGAAGTGGTATTTCTGTCGCCTAACACCACTTCGAAGGTGCAACCGTTGAACCAAAGCATTATTCGCACATTTAAGTCAATCTACAAGCGTCGGCTGATTGAAAATTTACTTGTCAAGCTCTGAATGGGCCAAGACCTTAGGATCGATCTTTTCGGCACCATCCAAAATTGGAAAGCGTCGTAGCATAACGTGAAGCAGTAGACGAAAGCCAACTGCTTTCAGCATGCGGGCTTTGCTGGCTACACTGACGAGGCATCAGTGGATGAATCTGAAAGAGCTGGGTTGGCATGCGCAGATGAAGAAAGCTAGCTCGCCGAAACGTGGAGCAAGCTGTAGAGCTTTGTTTGTGTCGAGCCACAAAGCATGCGCATCTAGTGCATCGACGACTTCGTTGGATGTGATGACAGCACTAGTATAACAGCTGAGCTGATGGATGCGGAGATCGTCACCAAAGTTACTGCTGAGCAGCCAAATTAAAACGGTGCCAAAGTGGATCCTGCAAGCTCCCTACATCAGCTGAGCTGAAAGCTGCTCCGGCCCTTGTGCGCCATCACTGTGGTGCAATCGAAGGCACCGGCCTATCACTTGTGGATCACCTGGATTACATTGAGGACGCAGCTGTCAAACACGCCATTACCAACAAAAAGCAGGCTACCATTTTTCAGTATTTTAAGCCGACACAATAAATGCTTTGTTTGAATCCTCAAGTGAGTGCTTACTGCACCATGAATGGTTCATTGGTTGTTTTCCACAAGTTTTAGTCGCAATTTTTACTTAATTTTTTTATATAGAATTCTGGATATATCAAACCATGTTATGATTATCATGCCATTCGATATATTGAGGTTCGACTGTACATCAACATTGCACATGAACGCGTCACAAACCCTAGATGCGCCATCAACATGGCCCATGGTAAGGTCGTAATCAGCATGTATGGACACACTGCCACTGTAACACGCAAGAGAGCTTAGCCGATTTCCTAAGTGTACACGTTTTTCAGCTTGATGAACTCAGCGGCATTCGCTTATGTGTCTAGTTTCCTCCTCGTAGATGCAAAGCAGCTAAAGGTCAAGGTCAATCCGGCGTGTGTGGTCAACTTTACTGCGCATGCCCAACAGTTGACCCAAGCACTGCCAGAACACGCTCTCGCGTTAGTACGTTCCAGCCTGTGTAAAAGGCTGGGTAAAACACTGTGGCCTCTGCCCTGAACACTTTCTCAGCAGTCATATGATGCCATCGAGGAACGAGATTCTGCAGATGTGCAACCAACGCACGTGCTCCCATGTGCATAGCGATGAACCCGCAAGAGTTTGGGACGAGTTTGGAACAAAAGTTTGCGACGAGTAAGGGCAACAGAAACTACAGTGAATTTATGGTGTGCTCCACTTGCAAGGAGGCATTAATATCAAGCAAGGTGTCCGTGATGAACAGAACTTTTAAGTAAACCTACGCACTCCTTAGCATGCTACTCATGGTTCCCTTTAGTGAAAGATGGTGTAATTTTTAGTATGTAGCTTTCGTTGTTTTCTGCGGGTGCCGTTCGGTACTTTACTCCTTTGAGGCTCATCCTAGAACACAGGCTAATTTCATTGCAGCAACCAATACGGGAATGAACAAAATGCGCAGCTCACTCTTGCACACATACGCACGACAGCCATTCAAATATTAGACAACCAATAGGAGTGTGCCATGTGCCCCCACGTACCTACTGCAACCAATACAGATGCCACTTTTGCCCCTTTTCACTCGTTCTTGGTGGTCTTTATTTTTGTTGCAGATATACAGCATTGCGGCTTTCTTCAGGTCTCATCTCTTCTCTTTAGCATATACTAAGGTGACCACGCTCCACCAAGCGAGAGCAGCAGGAATTGTGGCATCTTCCGAAACTCAATTTTCTCACAGTTTCTGTTAACCACACAATAATCAAATGCTGTTTTCTCAATCATTACACTGTATTTCACTGCGAAGTGAAGGAACGTCCCATGATCGCAAAAAAATATTAAGTAATTTAAAAATTTTGACCAAACTGACATTACCGCATCTCCCCTTAAACACAAGTCGACTGCTTTCTTTCATGAAGCTCATGTTCATTTTCAGTCAAGCAGCAATGTAGTACTCCACTTGGATATACGAACGATCCACTGGGGTGGTCAGAAGTTCCCAAGTTGCCATCCAACGAAATCCTAAAATCGCTCAGCCTGTGAACTTCTGAATGCCCAGCATCTCTTGAGTCACGTTCGTTTGAGAATCGAGGGGTGCAAAACCAGAGACATGCACCCACCTCCTGACCTTCACCTTGTGGGCCATGCCCGTCTCTTCCAGTGCCTGGCAAAACGGTTCCAAGTTTGTGAGGCGCAGCGAGGCAATGTGCAACTCCTTCACTGATGCACAGTCGCGAGCTGCTTCCAGCAGTAGGCGGACCTCGCGCAGCGTCAGGTTGCAGTCCACATCCAGGGAGTGCAGCGATGTGGTACATTTGAGAGCCTCGACCAGGCAGTCCACCTGCCACTGCAGGCGCACCTTTTCACCCTGCGAGAACAAGGTCATTGTACTTATCGAAATAACAGTTGCTAAGGAGACACCTTTTAACAGTTAGATGCTATCTTTAATAAATGGGTCAGCTTTAATGAGACATAACACTTGGCTCATTCCGGTGGCTGTACCATGCAAACCTTATAATGCCCGTCATGCCGGCCCACAGCCAGGATACAAATACCACTCTGACTAACAATACTAACACTACACAAAACAAATTGCTGCTGAAGAAAAAGCAAGCAATTCATTTAATTTAGTGATGTGTAAATAGTCAATTTTTAAACCAAATTGGATATGGTAAAGGCACTGAGATCCTTAAATCATCACATGTGTCTTTGGCACTCACAAAAGTTATGAATACGAAGAGAATCGCAATGAAAATGAATCAAGTACAAATCGTGTAAGCACAGGGCAGCCATCTTACAGCACGAACTGCACTTTTTCCGAAAAGCGCCATCAGCGGTGGCAGGGGCAGCCATAGGCGTATCTCCCGGGAAAGCAAGGGGGGCGCTGGCCCCCCTCCCCACTGGGAGTAGTAGGGAGCCCCCCCGAGTTTCGGCAGTGGTAGTTGTTGGCTGCCCACTGAGAAATCAACTGAGGGAAAATTTTCGTTCAGTGTAGTAGCTACGCAACTACACATAATAACATTTCGTAACATAATTTTCTTAGTGTCCTGCTGAGGAGGTTTTTTCCATGTGTCGCTTCCATGAACTGCAGACTTTGTGCATTGCGGGCCGCTTATGCAACGCCTTCGCGCCTTGCACTCGAACATTTTAAAGGAAGCCACGGCTCAGTGGAGGCTCTAGAACGTCAGACCAATCTGTCATGCCTTGAAGCTGAAGTTTACATCACAGGCGGCGCAGGTGCAGGTGGGAACCAAATATTAAACGCTTCATAGACCAATCCCATGCTGTTCCCGCCTTTAAAAAATCATTATGTTTCTTAGAAAACAAATAAAATTAGGGCTGCTCTATATCTTAGCTGCCATGAATCAAAGAAGGCGTAGAAGTGTTTTTGAAGGGGCCCGAGACCGGCGAGCCAAAAATGGATTGCACCTTAGTCTACAATTTAGAAGCACCGCCTCACTTGTACTATAGTATGAAGAAAAAAAATCGCCGTGGCTTGCAACAATGCGATAGGTATACGGCAGTCGACTAAAGCACAGAGGAAAGCCCTGCTTTGAGGTTTGCCCCGCCACTTGATCGACCTTAGCAGGAAGATAGTGCACACTTTTCTAGACTACGAGGCCTGCCCACCTGCTAGAGCTTTCATCTGTTTCTAATCATGCTTACTTCTCCCTATCTGCAAATAGTTCACAGCGAGCTGCCTATGCACATAAACGGCTCCACGTGGATATATCACAACTGAAAATATTTATTAAAGGCACATATATTCATGTCGCCAATTGCAATAAAGCATAAACTACTGAGAACATACAAAAATGCCACATTAGGAAGAACACAGCTATTCGAAGATATTGCAAATCTTCGAGCAAATACAATTTCCTATCCTTTCAGGTATCAGCCACCATACCACGTTCCTTTCTCGCGTACCCATTATGGGAAAGAAAAACTTGATTATGTACTCGCAACCACACTAAATGAACTAGAACAAAGAAATGTTGACGTTCTTAACTTTACTAACAAAACCTTACTAGATCTGTTTATGTAAATGTATTAGAACTACTCATGTTTGTATATTTACAGTAGCTGGTTTTACTAAAGTGATTGTAACTTAAAACATACATTGATGTTTTTTTTTTTCATTAGAACACCGTAGTCTGCATAACTACTTTTGGTAATCGCATTGTATATAGTGTGGCTATATAGACTTGTTCGATGTTTTGCCCTGTCACTACTGCTGTACGGGTGACCAGAGCTTAGTCAAGCTGCGCAAGCGCAGCTTTTTTCTCTGGTCCCCTACTTTCGCAGTGACAATGCGCTGTATTGTCTGAAGCGAAAATAAAATTTGATTTGATTGATTGATTGATTGATAAACTCTCCGCCAGACTGATCGCCGGGAAACCTTCTTTAATTACGCTCCAAAAGAGACACTGGTCTACAATACCAACAAACTTCATTACAGCAATGAACTGTTTATTGTGCACACGAAACTTTAACGCAATATGTTCATGCAGATTTCCGAGATTGCATATAACGCAGACGATTTTACGAAACACACTTTTTTTTTCCCTTTAGGAAATAATCATCATAGTGAGACGGTGTGCAGAAGAGTAATAACAAAAGAGAATGTAACGCGGATAAGGCGCCAACTGTGAACTCAGAATTATTGAAAAAACAAATATATGTTTGTTTAAGTAAACACTCGCTAAAAAGCTCTAAATAAACAAAGATGAGTTCAAGAGCACCTTCGATAGGTCCAGATTAGTGGCAAGTAACGAGACTGGGGGTTTCGCGACGTAAGAATTTCTTGCTTCATGAATGGGATACACTTCTGCGATTTCATGTGCTACCCTATCTCTCATCCGAGAAAGCAATGCCGTGTCAGCAGCTAAGCAAGTGCAAACCAGAGAGAGAAATGGAAAAAGTAAAAAGAAAAATAGAGATCAAGAAAAACAGAGATGAAGAAATTAATAGAGAAAAACAATAGAAAAAAAAGACAGGAAGCAAAATACAAAAGCTGCCCAGGTCCACGCTTTCCACAGGCTTCGTACCAGTGTACCTGCAAAGTTATTTATTTATTTTTTTGCTGCTGCTTCCCAAGAACACTGCAATGCCACAATATTCCTAATTTGAGACTTCGTTCACAATGTGAACACGGCTCAAGACCCCTGTGTTTCAATACGAAGTGTCCTCTGATTCAATACCTTGTGACGCTCCAGCGATGCGATTGTGGGTGGTGACCACGGCTTTCTGAGAGCAGTGCCGATTTCGGCTGTCCGCGAAACTTGTTTTCCTACCTTTGTGTCGCATATTTGCATGCTTTATGCTCATGCGCTCTGAGGAACACCTGAATTAACCGGGTTGTGTCCAAATTTCACCACATTATTGAGAGTTCTGGTGGCATTAAACAATACATACGCTGCCGGGCCAGAGTACACGTCCGAATGATTGAGTTTTCCGAACTAATATGTGTTGAATTAACCAGTTCTTGCTGTACTAGTAGACGCTTACAGTTAAAAATTAACACACAGTTTATTTTAAAGATTTCCCCAAAACACTTAGCTAGGTCAGCTACATTATTTGTTTACAAAGTGATAATTTAGAGTTTCATGGCAATTGGGAAGTAAAATGTTCTCCGTAGTCATCCTATTTACAATGTTCATATGAGATTCTATTTTGCAGATGAAATGGTTCGTCCAAAAAGAGTATTTATTTTATTTTTTTTATTTATTAATACTGCCACGTTCCATTTCCCAAGTTTTTGTTATCGTCCCAAAACACCACACCATTCTCAGCGCGAACCGCGCCTGCAGTTTTCGAGAAGGTTCCAGACTGTAGTAGATCATTTCGATAAGATCACGCCCACTGTGCGAACGGTACAGATTGTTCTGGAACCTACGCCGCCACCAGCGATAACGCTAGAACATTCGACGGCAAGAGTATAAATGTCAACGTGCTTCACCGCTTGTCAGTTGTTGATCGAAGGCCGACGCTCCGTTCGCCGCTATAAGTCCGAGACTGCTATCTGTGCAAGACTGCTGCTGTAATTGGACTTTCCGTTTACCGGGCACAGGTTCGCCCAAATAAACAGTTAAATCCCACCACGAAGTCTCCTGTCTTCGGCAATGTCACGACCCCGTGACATCTGGTGGAGGTGCTGCTTCGTTCATGTACCGGACGTCCCCGTCAAGCCGTGAACCCAGCCCACGTCGCGGAGAAGACACCGACGCCAACCAGGAGCAGCGAACAAGCCGCCGACAACAAGGGCTACTACCGGAGTACGGGATTCTAGAAGACAAGGCGCGAAAGACCAAGGCCATGACCGCGACTGCAGCGACAATGACAACCGCCGCATCCCAGCCCACGATGGTCATGCATCAACCCAGGAAACCACCAATTTTCCATGGGTCATCGTTCGAAGACCCGGAGTCCTGGCTAGAAACATACGACCGTGTGGCCGCCCTCAACCACTGGGACAACGAAGAAAAGCTCCGTCGTGTGTACTTCGACCTGGAAGACACAGCAAGGACCTGGCTAGAGAATCGTGAGTCCACGCTCCGAACGTGGGATGTCTTTTGCGGCATATTTCTGCAAACGTTCGCGAGCGTCGCTCGCAAAGAAAGGGCCGCTGCTCAACTAGAGACCCGGGTTCAGCTACCAAATGAGAAGGTTGGGATTTTCACAGAGGAGATGACCCGCCTATTTCGTCACGCTGACCCAGACATGCCTGAGGAGAAGAAAGTTCGTTTCCTCATGCGAGGGGTCAAACAGGAGCTCTTCGCAGGACTAATGAGGAATCCACCGAACACCGTCCAAGAATTTGTATCCGAGGCGACCACCATCGAAAAAACCCTTGACATGCGCACCAGACAGTATAATCGTCGCCTGACTCCAGAATGCGCTGCTGCTCAAACCAGTGACTCCGAAAACCTGCGTGAAACGATCCGAGCGATCGTGCGGGAAGAGCTGCGAGAACTGTTGCCTTCGGCGCACCCTCAAGTGGATTCGATCGCCGACATTGTGCGAGAAGAAGTTCGGCAATCACTTCGAATTCCCCAAACACCGCTGCCCGAGCCAGAAACTATGAGCTACGCCGCTGCAGTGCGCCACAACGCTCCTCCCCGTCCACGCCAAAACGCCGCCCCGTCGCACTTCCGTCACCGGACACCACCGCCGCCACCACCCCCACCAACGACCTACCGTTCACCAGCGGGCCAGCGCAGTGCGCCGAGGAAAACCGACGTTTGGCGCACCCCTGACCACCGCCCACTGTGCTACCACTGCGGCGAGGCCGGGCACACTTACCGCCGTTGCCAGTACCGACAGATGGGACTGCGTGGCTTCGCCGTAGATGCACCACGTCCGCAGCAA